AGACAGTCGAACCGAACGGTTCTGACGGTTTTCATAAATCGTCCAATCCCTAATATATATATATAAATACACACACTACTGTTCAAAAGTTTGGGGTCACATTGCAATGTCCTTATTTTTGAAGGAAAAGCACTGTACTTTGTTAACACATCTGAAAAGAGTTAAGCTCGTTACAGAAGCTACAAAACTGACCTTCCTTTGAGCAGATTGAGTTTCTGGAGCATCACATTTGTGGGGCCAATTAAACGCTCAAAATGGCCACAAAAAGAGAACTTTCATCTGAAACTCGACAGTCTATTCTTGTTCTTAGAAATGAAGGCTATTCCACGCGAGAAATTGCTAAGAAATTGAAGATTTCCTACAACGGTGTGTACTACTCCCTTTAGAGGACAGCACAAACAGGCTCTAACCAGAGTAGAAAAAGAAGTGGGAGGCCGCGTTGCACAACTGAGCAAGAAGATAAGTATATTAGAGTCTCTAGTTGGAAAAACAGACGCCTCACAGGTCCCCAACTGGCATCTTCATAAAATAGTACCCGCAAAACACCAGTGTCAACATCTACAGTGAAGAGGCGGCTGCGGGATTCTGGGCTTCAGGGCAGAGTGGTAAAGAAAAAGCCATATCTGAGACAGGCCAATAAAAAGAACACAGACTTGGGACAGAGGAAGACTGGAAAAAAGTGTTGTGGATGGATGAATCCAAGTTTGAGGTGTTTGAATCACAAAGAAGAACGTTTGTGAGATGCAGAACAAATGAAAAGATGCTGGAAGAATGCCTGACACCATCTGTTAAGCCTGGTGGAGGTAATGTGATGGTCTGGGGTTGCTTTGGTGCTGGTAAGGTGGGAGATTTGTACAGAGTAAAAGGGATTCTGAATAAGGAAAGCTATCACTCCGTTTTGCAACGCCATGCCATACCCAGTGGACAGCGCTTGATTGGAGCCAATTTCATCCTACAACAGGACAATGACCCTAAACACACCTCCAAATCGTGAAAGAACTATTTAGAGCAGAAGCAGGCAGCTGGCATTCTATCGGTAATGAAGTGGCCAGCGCAGTCACCGGATCTGAACCCATTTAGCTGTTGTTGGAGAAGCTTGACTGTATGGTACGCAAGAAGTGCCCATCCAACCAATCCAACTTGTGGGAGCTGCTTCTGTAAGCGTGGAGTGCAGTTTCTCCAGATTACCTGAACAAATTAACAGCTAGAATGCCAAAGGTCTGCAATGCTGTAATTGCTGCAAATGGAGGATTCTTTGACAAAAGCAAAGTTTGATGTAAAAAAAAATCTTATTTCAAATACAAATCATTATTTCTAACCTTGTCAATGTCTTGACTCTATTTTCTATTCATTTCACAACTTATGGTGGTGAATAAGTGGGACTTTTCAGGAAAACACAAAATTGTTTGGGTGACCCCAAACTTTTGAACGGTAGTATATATACATATATATATATACACCTACTGCAGATTTTGTGTTTCAGCCAAGAAGTTTGTTTCTGATCATAAATGAGAGAGAAATCTACTAAAATATAATTAAAATGGTTGACAGAGTACTTTTGTAAGAAAAAATGTATAGAAAATGATTTATACCCTCTCATCGCCTTTTAAAAGTATTTATTGGCATTGCAACTGTCCAAGCCTCTCTTAAAATTGCTTACTGACTTTTTAGATGTTTCTGCTTGTTTTTTGACTAATTATCCTTTATGTCTTTAAGTGTTCTTGAATGAAGGGCCTTCTTGCAACAAACTTAATCTTTCTGTCCATCTTTACATCTTAGTCATGTCTCTGTCTGGGTCACAACAAAAAGTTAGGATTACATCCACCAAAACAACAAAACAAAAATAAAACATGTTGGTGAAAATAAACAGCTACTTTAACCCATCTGCCAGGATTATGATCCTTTTGTAATTACAGCAACTATGACTAAACATTTAGTCTTGACCTGTTTGTTGGCAGTCGCGTAGGCAAGTCCGACCCCCTGGACCTGAGGTCCTGTGAAGCCAGCAGGACAGGATCCACAACGGAAACCAGGAGAGGTGTTAATACAACGGACACCCATGTGGCAGGGCTTTACTGTGCACTGAAAAGAACACATACAAAAATCTCCTCAAAACAATAATATGAGACAAGCTGTTTTATTTGTTCTGACACATTAGATCTCTTCGTAGATCCTCTTATTAGATAACTGGATATAGCAGTCAGATGGATTTAAGCAAACATGTTCTTTGGTTGTCAACCATTTCACCGACCTGCACTTTTGAATGCTAGCAACTCCAAAAATATTTGGATAAACGTTTTTGTTGCTTTTTTTAAAATCAGAAAATGAATTTAGGATTTTTAGAGTTTTGTTGTTTCTCTGCATTATAGGGATGTCAAGGTAATCAATTGTCTGTTTAATCAACAATTTGTGAGTAGTTAAAATAACTTATGCTCATCTATAATATCAAATAATATTGATATATCTTCCTACCTCGTCCACATCCATGCAGTGGGTACCGTTTCCCTGCATGCCATCAGGACAGGGTCCACACTGTGGGCCCTCAGCGGACTCTATGCACTTCACACCGGGGTGGCAGGGGTTGGGATCACAGGAGGATTCAGGTTGAACGCCTCCCATTGCTAGCAGAGAAAAAGAAACTGCTGTGATGGGAAGCTGAATCTCTTGTCATGTCATCCAGACTGGCAAATGTCAGTGCTTTGCAAACTTCTAATGATTATCAAACTCTTGTTGAAATTACTTACACATGTATCTGCATTTAGTATGGTAATAGGAATCTATGCAGGATTGTTTTTGTTTTTGTTTTAATCTCAAACTTGAACCTGGAGTAGCCAAAATAAAACATTTTTAAACGACGGATTTAACTAACTCACCGCAGGCTTCACACTCCATCACTGTGTTCTTCAGGAACACTATTTCTCTAACCTGTAATAAACAATGGATCAACTGACCAATCCAATCAAGATGATTTGTGTAATAGAATTACAAAATGAAACCATTTTCTTGTTAATTGGTAATGAACATTTTGATGGCAGTGAAGGAGGTTTACCTGTTGTTTCAGCAACTCTTTAATCTCAGCCAAGACCAGATTAGTCATTTTAATCTGACTTATAATTTCTCCATCTGGCACAGACAGAAAACACCATTCGATCAGCTGCAGTGTTAAACATGATATTTTTTGTAAGCAGAGTCCACCTGTGTCTAAATTAATCCCAGCATAAAGCAAGCAGTACACTTTAACACTCCGCATCACCTTCAACTAGCCATCCCCATGGTAAAACATGGTGGTGGCAGTATCATGTGGCAGGATGCTTTTATAAGGAAAACAGGCTATAGACTGCATAGGACTTTTAATTCTATTGCTATAAATAAATGGTTTAGCTCAAAGCATCAAGAGGTGTTTCAAGAGCATAAACTCATAATCAGTCTTTTGGGCTTCTATCATCTTCCTTGTTTGTTCATGATGTGCTCCACTGTGTTGGTCTTGCACATAATGTGCAAAAAAACCATCTAAAACTGTGGTTGGGATGGGAATATGTAAAAAAGAAAGTTAAAGTTAAATGATTTCCTCACCTCAGATTTACCTTTGCTTTCTCTTCCTAATGTTTGTTTATTTAGACCACAAATTTAACTTTTTCATGACAGCAATTTAGAATAAGGAAAACAGGCTATAAACCGCATAGGACTTTTAATTCTCCTGCTATAAATAAATTGTTTAGCTCAAAGCATCAAGAGCATAAACTCATAATCAGTCTTTTAGGCTTCTATCATCTTCCTTGTCTACAGATAGAGTCTGTTGTCCAGCAGGAAAGGCTAACATCCATCTGTCCAAACCGAGGTCCAGAAAGCTCCAGCAAAAACTGAGGGGGCAGACTTTAATCTGCACCAATATCTTATGATCCATCAGCTGTGTCAATATCACAGCTCAGTGTCAACAAATGGTGGAATATCTGAACATTAAAGGTCAGCTGGCCATGAAATGTACTGCAGCTGTGGTAAAAGTCTGTGTACCTTTCTTCTGGTGTTAACAGTCAAGAAGCTCCCTTTGACAGCTTGCCTGCGGTTGTTTGAGAATTCAGTCATGTAAAGCTAAAGGTTCCCACCCCAAACCAAGGATCTTATGCAAACAATGAAAAGGCTTACCAAGCAGCTCTGGGCAAATATTTCATATTTCTGTTATAGTTTTTAATGTATAAAACAACACTGAGATGCAGTGGAGGGTGGGTGGGTGGATGGAGGGAGGGTAATATCTGACCAGGGTCTGACCTTGAAACAATAGAAAAGAAAAATACTAAAGAATTATTTTCTTTGTTGGTTCTAACTTATCTTAAAAAATTTTTATGATTGACGTTTATATCAGTCAATCAGTACGACCCTGTAATGGTTTGGTCTTTGGAGTTTATTTTTAGAACATTTGTTAGCCTAAAGGGAAATGATTGCCACATAAATCAGACAAAAACAGAGGGTATTTACCCGGTAAGTAGAAAGAAATTAAAGTTTTAATTGTGCAGACTTGGATTCCTTTCAGTTGTTCTGTTTCAAGAGGTTCTTTGTTAGCTCAACTCCAAGAACAAAAATAAACTCCCTAAGCACTAAATACAGATGTGTGTGTGTGTGTGTGTGTGTGGGGGGGGGTATATATATATATATATATATATATATCTTTAACAACTACTGCCTTACGCTGAAGACCTCTTCTTCAGAAACCACAGATCTTTTCTTGAAACAGCTCATTCATTCATTCATTCAAGTCTGCAATGTTTTAACTCCAGCTCCAAAAGTGATTTTCCAGATATGCAGACGATTTCCTGGAAGCTACATTTTCCAGCTAAGCATACATACAGGAATGAAAAACAGCGGGTGGTCATATGTGTTTACAAGTGAACCATGGATGAAAAGATCAGGATTTTACATGCTATCGATTTTCTTGACAGCTACATTTTCCTGACATCTGACATTTGTCATTTAAAACAGAATCTTCTAAAGATTTTTGAAAAATATTCCTCAATTAGGTAGCATCATTGCAGGTCATTGAAACATTTTTTTTTTAAATTCCAACAAATATGAGGCCTGAATGTGGAAATAAACATTTGTTAAAACAATGACAATAGTACAGTGACTTTTTAGCATATCATGAAGCCATATTATACAGTGCTTTGCACGCATATCAGTAGACAACTTATTTAAACAAACAGGCTCTCTGGTCTGAAATCTAAAGGTAAGAATTATGACCTATGGAGAAAAAAAAAATTGGAGGGCCTGCTCCATCTGTCCGTCGATTGATCGATGATTGAGCTTTGTTTGTTGTTTTTCTTTCTTCTGCTCTATTTTGTACTGTCCGCTTTTAGTGCTGACAGCCAATATTTCCCAATTTAGGACTAAAAAAGGATCATCTTGTCTTATCAATAATGTAAGATTTAATGTTCAAAATAATTTTCTCTAAATAATATGTATCTGGTCAACAGCAAAACCCAAGTAGTTATCATTTTATGCATATGTGTGCAGAATCTATCAGGATAATTTAGGAACCACGCCATAGTCTAGTCAATGGACCCTACGTCCAAAAGCCAAATGGTCTCTGATCCGCAGATCAGAAAATGGATTGATATATAAATTTAACTTGAGCAACATAAGTGTAACTAGCTCAGATTACATGGTTAAAAAGTGTTAACCTCAGTCAAGGTTGTAGCATGAAGGACTTTGCATGTGGTGGTTTATCCACCCAAATGCATTTTGCCTTCTTAGCAATTTATCTAACTTGTAACCTTTCTGAACACACCAGATGAGCTAAATAGAATCAGAACCCCCCTGAGAGCAAAGCTCAGGAAATATGTTCCTCTCATCAGGAGCAGCTCTGTTACTGACTGAATTCCACAGCAGGAAAAGAGTGAAAATAAATCATTATCTGCATTTGGAAAGCCCAAAACCTTGAAGATGTGAGTCTCTTACATTTTTTTTTTGTTTTTTATTATTGAGTACATTATCAAGACGAAATGCTTATATACTGATGTCTCTATAATGATGAATTATAAGTTTCTATTTTTTATGTGATCAAAATTCATCATTCCATATACAACTTGTAGATTTAGGCCTGTTTTGATTATTTTTCTCCTCTGCTTAAGTTCCAAAAAACTATACTATACTATCCCCAATTCAGACAATGTCAATCAGAAACAGTTTGCTCTCACCTCGCTGTCCCGTGACAATGTGTCCTCCCATGCAGAGGACAAAGGTAAGCCCCACAAACCACAGCATGGTTGGATACTTCAGGAAGAGTAGTTATGTCTTCAGTCTTTCTCCTACCGTGGACTAAGAGTCACTGCTCCTCCTGCAAGCCTGGTTCCAGCAACACTCTTTTATGTTCCACCCCTGCTATCAACCCCCATTCTTGATTTATACCTCTGGCCCTTCCCCGCAAAGCTCAAAGGGAGATGGAGAGAAAGGACCAGCTTGTTTTGCATGATACACAACCTCAACAAACCCCCTCTCAGTCTCAAAACACAAACATACATACTGCATTCAATAGTTACCGTTTCAGATTTTCTGACTATGAAAACAGCTTAAAAAAAAAATAGAGTTCACAAGAGTTTGAGGTTTAAACGAGGTTTGAATTACATTGGTATCCAAAGCAACAGTCAGCTCTATGGTTTCAGATTAAGTTTAACAGTTAGAATATATTCAGTGTCGAATCATTGATAATTTATGTTTCCCTCCATCTATTGTCATCTTCAAACCTGGAGAGTCCTCTTCACAGCAACACTATCTAGCTCCTGAGAATGGATTCCAAGGCACTCCCAGGCCAGATGTTTATACTACCTCTTGTGGGTTCTAGGTCAGCCCCGGGATTTCTTGAAAAATCTTCAAAGGGCGCTCTTCAATAAGGATCATAATAGGATGATTTATTGCAAACCTCTAAATGTATATTAATCTTTAAGAAGTTGGTATTATTTGAGTCACATTTCATAAACCTTGGATATTCATAGTTTTGCTCCACTTAATCCAAAACAAGTTATGTAAAACTATTTGAAAATTGTAACTGTTGACTAGAAGTCACAAAGAAAAAGGTTTAGCAGGAGTTGTGTAATTGTAAATTAGACATACAAAACAACAGTCAAACCTCTCCAGATAAGAACACGTACAGAAAAGGTTGCTGCAGAAATACCTCTATGATAATAGGGCTCCTAATCTTATCTCCAATGCTGAGTCCAGCCACTTTATGGAAAAAGTTTATTTCATGTGCTTTTCATTCTACCCTACCTGTGTTCGGACTGCTTGATCAGGACCCGTTCTGCCTCTTCAGTCTGCCTGTTCTCATCTGATCTGGTTGCCTGACATGTCTTCGGACTCCTGCCAGATCTCTGTGTGTTTGTGTACCGTACCTGGAACTGTGACTGACTCTGTCCAGTATTCTCCCTCGGCACATCACTGAACCTCTGACCTTCTGCCTCTGACAACCGAGCACATCACCGACATCAGCTTTGGCTTCATCATCTGGATTACCCTGCTTAAATTCGTCTGTTCAGTTCTGATCCTCTGCCTCCGACCACCGATACATCAGCTCAACAATTAGCTCGTTGAGCCTTTTTAAGTCATTAGCTCTAATACTGTTAGAGGATGGAAGAAGAGATCACACTTTTCACAACAGACTTATTGAAGACATGTATTTGGGGAGTGGCTGCCTAGTGGTTAGAGGATAGAGCTTGGAATCCTGAGGTTCGAGCCCCACTCTCATAGACTGATGATGTTAATAGGTTTCAGCTTGTTCCTGTTTCTTCTGAAATCTAGAAGCATCTTCATTCACTATCATGTTATTCGTATACACTTTTCTAAGGTCCAGATTTGTGTGACCATTTTTTCTATAATATTTTTTCTGCTGTAATGCCAGAATTTCCTTACTGTGGGACAATAAAGGGATTTTATATTCTATTCCTTGTTTTGTCGACATTCAGGATCAGATGGCTGTTTCCACACCATGCTAAAGCGGTACACCAGCTCTCTGTACTCAGCTTCTAGTTCATCTTTGACACACCCAATAATTGCAGAGTCATCTGCGTATTTATTGCAGATGACAGGACTCTGTCTGGTACTGTAAGTCAGACATGTTCAGAGTAAAAAGAAATGGAGAGACCAACCACTGAGCTTGCTTGTTCTCATCTGAATGTTCTGCTTGAGCTCTTTGATTATTATGCATGATTCTCTGCAGCGATAAGCAAACTGCAGGGGTCCTGATAGCTGCATGTTTGTTTGCTGAGTTGAACCAACAGAGGTCTCTCTACGAACCTCATGATGTGGGATGTCAGGGCAATAGATCTAGAGTAATTGAGGACTATTGGGCGAGTGTTCTTTGGTACTAAAATAAGGCAGGAGGTCTTCCACATCACTGAAACTATCTCCTGAGTCAGGCTGGTGCTGTAGAATCCTACAGAGCTGCTCTTCTCAGGCCTTCAGGATTTGGAGCTGACACCATCAGGACCTGCTGACTTATTACGATTCAGTTTGTACACTTGCCTCCATATTTGACTTGTAGAGATACACAGGTGAAAGGTTGAGGGAGCAGCACTATTTTCTGATTTGGCTGATAACAAACTCATAGACACAGGAAAGTCAATGGAAGAGGAGGGCAGGATGTCCATGTGATTGTGGACAAGAAAGAAAGATGCTGAGCTTGTTCCTGAACTGAACCTGTTGAAGAATGTGTTCAGTCCATTGGCTTTGTCCAGACTTTGGCTTGATCAGACTTCCATCAGTCAGATCAACCTTCTGCTTGAAGCCTGTGATCTTCTTCATCCTCAACCACACATCTCTGATATTGTTCTGCTGCAGCTTGTTTTCCAGCATTTAGTCTGGACCTCTATGGGTTTAATTCACTGCCTGGGCTAAACTTTCCTGAACTTTGGAGACGTCTCACCTTTCCAAAATAAAGATCAAAAGAAGTTACATGTCTAACAGAGTTAGGAAAAGAGTTTTCAGCTGAAAAACATCAGTTTTTTATAATTTTTTATCATTTCATGTGTTAACTATTGTAAAGCAAGGTAACAATCATGTAATGGTGACCACATGGTACCCCTTGTTGACTTGTTTTGAGCTATTGTTCAAAGGGGAAATTTTGCATGTTTGAGCACCAATATAAAATATTTTTTTGTGTGTTTCGCCTTGCAATGGTCTGGCAACCTGTCATCATTCAACCTATTCTCATTATGAGTGCGTATGAAATCGTACGAAAAGTTATGCACCGTAATTTCGTACGTTTTGGACGTTTTTTTTTGTCGTATGCGCATTTGACGTACCATTCACGAATATAGAATATAAATTACAATTAGCCCTAACCCTGACCCTAACCCTAACCCTAAGATATAAAACAGCAAGCAACGTAGTTAGAGACATGAATAAGTGCTGATTGCACTGTTTTTCCCAATTTTACGTCCGTCCGCAGATCTGTTTTTTTTTTCTGTCTGCCAGCGCATGCGCACTGATGTGGTTTTTTTGAGGAAAAACGTCCAAAACGTACGAAATAGTGTGCATAACTTTTCGTACGATTTCATACGCACTGATAATAAGAATATGTTGCATCATTGGACTCGGCCTTTTGCCCATAGACTGCTGGGGTTAGGCACAAGCATGATGGATGAAGTGGTAGAAGATGGATGAATTGATGAATGATATGCCCATTACATTTGATTGACAAATATAACTAAAGAGTCTCTTAAGATGAGTATCCTCATGTCTGCCAGATTCTAGCTCCGTTGTTTCATAAAACAAGCATAAAGAAGTTAGGTGGGACTTAGCCTTAACTATTCCCGCAGAAACATCATAGAAGTTTAAAAATCAATTATCTGAAAAGTTATTTATTTCTGATGTACCAAATAATGTTTCATTTACCTCCTTGATTTGCATTATGAGTTTAAACATGTTACAATTGCTCCAAATTAGTTAAGTCATTTAACCTTATTTCTAACTGTGCAGAGTTAACTGCTTTACCACCATTTGAGCTTGATTTAGACTTTCATTTGTGATCCTAACACACATCGGGTTGAATTGCCAGTGTTCAAATAATTTGATCAAATAACTTATCACAGTCCCAGTTAGAAGTTATTTGATTAAGTGGAATATTTGTGGCCCCCCCTCGCGAATGGGCACCATATATAAAGATATGGTTGCATGACACCATCGTCCAGGGATTTCATTTGTAAAACATTGCTTAGGATCCATACTTAGTGCATCCAAAATGGCATAAGCCCAAAGAAAATCTGATTAATTAAATCATGTACACAGGCAAAACCAAACAATTCCCTTTCATAAAGCACGACTGTAACTTAAAATTTACACACAAGCTCTTCCTCATGTTCAGCCCTCTACATGCCAACATTCAACCATAAATGCTCTTTACAGATGGACCATTTATGTAGATGTATGCATCTTTAAATGTTTTTAGTTTTTTTAGAAGGGAACTTTAGCTGTTTGCTACATTTCTGTAACTGTCTTATCCAGGAGGCTGTATTACCAATTCAATAATCATCTTCCATGTGCATACCCACTGAGCAAGGATGTCCGTAAGGCTGAAGGCTGTCTGGATTCAACACAGCAGTCAAAAGCTTCTTTCACACCCTGCATAGTGTTCTTACTGTTGCTCCCATGAGCTAGGAGCTACAATTTCATGTATTTAGAAACAGCTAAATTTTCTACGTCAGAGATCAAAATATTTGCATGGAAGTCAACATACGCAAGTTTCTATATATAAGCTTTATAAATGAAACCCCAGGTAAGAAGGAGGTTGTCCACCAACAAAACGTAGCCTGTACCGGTTTCCCCTTTCAAAGTCATCGAAGAAAAAGCTAAAAACTTCTTGTTTAAATTTACTAATGTGTTTGCTTTTATGTAACTCATTTTTTTTAAGTCCTCTAAACATCCATGTCAAAACTTATAAACTGCATTACAGTCATTGTTGTAATTATCTAAATCTCTGGTATGCAGAGCCAGTGAAGGGTCACCCAAATCAAAGGTGGTATCAGGGACTCCAAACTTCTACGGAGAATGGTCATGACTACAAGTGGACTGAATTTTTGCAACATCCCAGCAAAGGCAATTGTTCCATCATTCAATATACTCCTACAGAAGTACCCCATCTTCAATGTTTATTACACACAATTTAATGTTACACAAAAATATTAATCAGCTTCCAGTGTTATTTTTGTCACACAGGAACAAAAGACCATTATAACTCAACATCATCTTAATTCTCTTTAATCATAGAAATGTGGTTTCGTCTCAGAAAAAAAGAAAAATGGTAACTTCTAAAATGCCTAATTCACATTTCAATGTGAATTAGAGTTAAATCAATCTG